ATCTGAATGAATTAGTAAACTGTGAATGATCTGAATGAATTAGTAAACTGTGATGATTTTGTATCCTGTTGCTAGCCCTGGAATTATGTATGTCTTCCCTGGCAGTCATCATAACACACTATTTTAAATTAAACAATATTGCTTTAAGATTACTGCTAATAACAGCATCCAACATATTAAATAACATTTACTAAATAAACCTGATCAGTAGATGGCACCTTGAAGGTTTATATGTGGGTTGAATTAAAAGGACGTGATGTTGTTCTTTTCTTTTGGAAACGTCTGAATAAATATTCATTCATCCTTTGTTCCTCCTATGCTCAGAGATTGATCTTTCCAGTCACTACATACCAATTTGGATTGCAGGGGCCTGGTTGTGTAATGTTAATTTGAATTCGGGATCTCCTTGGAATGCCTGATGCACATCACGACCAAAGGAATCCTGGCCCACTTAGATATTTTACGCCTGGTCTGTACCTCATCGGATCATCACAAGTACTCCTGAGAACCTATCAGTGAATTAAGTCAGTTTCCCAAAGTGACCATGAAATGCATGACTCACAGTCTCAGAAGACAGCAGTCCCATGGTCTTCGGGTCACTGTTCAGCAGTCCAGTGACCATGATTTGAATTCTGAGAATCTGAAAAGTCATTTAACATTTTCAAACCTATTCCCTCCTCTGTGAAATTGGAGGTAATAATATTCATCTGATAAAAGAAGTGACAAGTAGGATTTGTGTGACTATGCTTTCCAAGTTTGAAAGGTTACACAGATATAGGGCGTTGTTACTCTACATTTTGGACTTAGTATGTCCTAGGTAAAGTAATTTATGTATAACTAATGATCTGGCTTACAGTTTTGATTTTTTTTAAATGGGAATCTACTTTTCTCCTGTTTCTACTCTAAACCCAAATAGTTTATCTGCTTTTTTGTGTGCTATCTCACTTGTACTCTAAGTTCCTCTCAAAAGACCCAGTGTTTTGGAATGAAGTATTATTAACCTATCCTGAAACAAATGGCTAATGTTAGTCATGATAATAGTTGTGCTATGACAACCAAAAGTATACTTTGTGCATATATATGGTACTTCACACTTTTTCCTAATGAATTTTTATAAGCATAGCAACTTTGTGCAGCAATTAAATAACTGGCTCCATGTTATGTATGTGAAAAGTGAAACTCCGAGGGATTCTGAGAATTCTGTCAGTGCCATCTGCTTATACTTTACTGTCTTCTCTTAGCAACTTTCAAATGTACAGTATAGGATTATTAACTAGAGTCCCAGAACTGTACCCTGTATCCCATGACTTAATTATTTTATGACTGGAAGTGTATAACTTTTGACCCCCTCCAGCCATTTATCCTCAAAACTATTGTTGGAGTGGATTTTTTTTTTTTAACTGCATAGACTTTCTGATGAAAAAATACTGAAACTTTTATCACTGTAAATAAGCCTTAATACTTTCTAAGATTATGATGTTTTCTCTGTGAATATTAGTGGATTAGGATGCTTTAACCATATTATGGCAGTCTTTTCTCATCCTTTATTGTGGGTTATAGAAGTATCTTTAATATCAGGAATACTGAAAATCATTTTTTAATTTATATTTATATTAAAAGTAAACAATGAAAAAATCTGAGTTTAAAGCACATGAGAACATTTGATTATTTAACATTTATCATCTTTAATATTTTAGAATGAATTTACTTTATTTTTTATAACTATAAAAATACTCTCACTGGTGTAAACTGTTCATTGTTCAATAATCTTTAATCAAAGGTATAATTAATTTCATTTTAATTTATAGTAACTGATGTCATACAAAAAGAGAGGACGGGGGGCACCTGGATGGCTCAGTTGGTTAAGGCTCCGACTTCAGCTTAGGTCACGATCTCATGGTTTGTGGGTTTGAGCCCCATGTCGGGCTCTGAGCTGACAGCTCTGAGCCTGGAGCCTGCCTCAGATTCTGTGTCTCCCTCTCTCTCTCTGCCCCTCCCCCATCTGCACTCTGTGTGTGTGTGTGTGTGTGTGTGTGTGTGTGTGTATGTGTGCGTGTGTGCGCCTTTCTCTCTCTCATAAATAAATAAACATTAAAAAAAATTTTAAAACAGAGGACAGAACCATTAAATTTCTGTTTTTGAAGTGTAGTTGGTCTTCAAGCAATCAATGTTATAATGTATCTTATACAAAAATAATATTCTAGAGATTGTCTACCTGTCTCCCTGATTTTTAAGAATCTTAACTTATAAAGAACATTTAATATAATGCAATATAATATACTAATAAATACTAATAAAGTATGTAATTATTTTGAAAAGTTAATGTTGTAAAGCCTTGTTGTTTGATCCAGAGCAATGATGATAATGACTGCAAATATATTATTGCTATAGCATGTTTTTATTTATATACCTCCTCAATATACTATCTCATTAATTAGAAGGCTTACTTGGCTTATTTTTACAGCAAATGGTCACTTATTTTAATTTTCTTAAATATGCATACATAAATTATATTTTTATAACTTAAATAATAAGTAGTATGAATACTGTTTGGTGTGCATGTCTAGATAGATAAGTGGATAGGTGGATTAGAATAGTGTTCATATTATATTTTTTAATTGAGACTCTTCAAACATAACCATGTGAAATCTCTTATTCAAGACCACTTTCTGTGCAACAAACACTTCCATAGTTATAAATTTTAACTTTTATGCCCTACTCATAAATAGGGCATAAAGTAGTAGGGAATAGAGTAGTAATCTGTCTTTTGATATAAAACATTGATTAAATAATAAAACATATGTAGTTGCCCTTCTGTATCTGAGAATTACAAGAATAGACACAACTCCTAAATGAATTTTATTATATCAGGTGTAGAAATCAGAATGAAAGGTTGATAATAGGATGTAAAACAAGAGTAGACCAAGAAAGCTGATGATTTAATAACTGCAGATCAGAAATACTACATTTACAAAATATTTACATCTCATTGAATTTTATGATGTATACTTCTTTCATTATTAACTATTACTACTTCAAATGCAATCCCGATGATAACTTTCTTTAACAAATTACAGAAATAACTAAGTTTATATAGCTGCTCCTTTTATAAACATCTGAGATAGATTTATGAGTTTTTTTCCAAGTGTGATATGAAAATTGTATGCCTTAACTGCAAAGAAACATGTATTTTGACTTTGAGACATCTCCTTCCAAAAGATTTTCTTTGTAAAAGGGAAGTACTCCAATTTTTTAAAGTCTGAGTACACTAAAATGGCAAGGTGTCTCCTTGCCTCTTAAGTGTGAGGCCAGCTACATTTACATTACCGTTATTACAAGTTCTCTGGTAATCATCCTTAGACGTTAAATCTACACAAGAGAACATTAGGGACATGTTGTTCCTCAGGATTAACTATCATGCTAAATTGCATAAAAAGTATAGAATATTGGCTTTTATTAATCTTCCACTGAAAGCACAGTATATATTTTTCACCTTACAACATTCACTAATGAATCAATTTTAATTTAGGTACTAAGAAAAATCCTCATTAAGGCCAACAAATGGTAGCCTCAAGCAAACCCAAGGTATTTTCACAGTAAATCAGAATGAGTTGTTCCTTCGGTGCTCCCTTATTCCGCCAGTATGCAAACAATGATTCAGAAGTATTGGTCATTTCATAGAATAAAGCATATCTTCAAGTAGATATAACAGAAAATTCTAGCCATGAGGTAGTATATTTCTGAGATGAATAAACAAGAACATAAGACAGGATAACTGTAGAATGCCTCATCCTGTACACTTAGTGACAATATAATAGTTGGAAAACATTATTTTTCTATAGAAAAATGTACCTATCAATAAATTATTGAACGTAGACAATTTCTGAGTAAAATTTACCTTAGCAAAGCCACTCCAAATCAAAGAATCAATTTCATTATATGTATACGTACCCATGATTAAATCTGGGTAGCCCAGATTTGTTTAGCCAAGTTGCCACAAAGGATGCCTAGTGTATATTTCTATTTTAGTAGTGGTTTTTGATTATTCTCTTTGGGGATTCAAAGTTATTTTAAGTTATAGGATATTGGTATTTGTGAACAGCCGTCTGTGAGGTTAGTGTAATTATTTGGCCAAACACAAGGAACATGAGAATCAGTTCATAGAAATGGCTTTACTTATGGTGTTAGTAATATATTAATTGATATAAATTAAATTTTAAGAGATTTTAATACTCAAATATTAAATTTTTATTGATTTAGCTTTGGTGAAAGCATTTCCACATTATATTTTGACTGCCTTTAAAATGGATGTCATGATAATCATTGAATGTATTTTACAAATTTCTGATAAAACTCTGTGGTTATATTTTTTCAATTTTTTTTTAACAACGACAGTGAGTGATTCCTACCAAACAGTTATTTGTATTCACGTTGGTGCCGTCCTAAGAACCAGTTAATGTTGCTTAAGCAGTATTTAATTTCTTTTTTTTTTTTTAATTTTTTCAACGTTTTTTTTTTTTTTTTTTTTTTTTATTTTGGGACAGAGAGAGACAGAGCATGAACGGGGGAGGGGCAGAGAGAGAGGGAGACACAGAATCGGAAATTATGCTCCAGGCTCTCCTCATCAGCCCAGAACCCACACACGGGCTCGAACTCACGGACCGCGAGATCGTGACCTGGCTGAAGTCGGATGCTTAACCAACTGCGCCACCCAGGCACCCCAGCAGTATTTAATTTCTAACTCAATGTTACACCGTGTTCACTGAAAAATCAAATTCGTTAGTATGAGTAAACTGAATGAGTTGATTTTTATTTCTAGGTTTGTTTTTTTTTCTTGAGTATACTACAGATATTTCCTTCCAAAGTCTAAAACTCTAAATTGAGCAAAACCATACTTAAATTTTTATAACAAGAAGCAAAATAAATTCAGCACTGGTATTAATCATGATTTCACTTCCCATAAGTTTATTATTTCTTCTTTTTTATTTTTTTGATTTCAGGTGCAATAACAGAACACAGTGCGCAGTGGTGGCAGGTCCTGATGTTTTTCCAGACCCGTGTCCAGGAACCTATAAATACCTTGAAGTGCAGTATGAATGTGTCCCTTACAGTATGTATATTCCTGTACTTTTCTTGTGAAAAGACATTAAGCATTGTTTTGCGTGCATTGACCAAATATTCTCTATGAAAGTGTAAGAAGTATTACATACATTTTTTTAAAGACTTAAGTTTTCAGGATCATAAATCCTCCCACCATTGGAAGAATTAGACGTTGCCTGAATGATCCTGAAGTATTCATTTTGACTATACATTTCTGTATATCCATACTTATTCTAAACCTTTTCTTAATGCAAGAATATAAAACGTTTAGAAAAGTGTTAAGAGAAAAAAAAAAGGAGACTGCCTCCCTCTAGGTCTAAGCAAACAAGCAATGAAAATGAATAATATCTTGCATATTATATAAGTATTATATATATAATATAATATATGGCTGTCTATATGATATAATATATATTATTATACTTACATTAGTGGTATAGAAATTGATAAATTTTGAACTTTGTAGAAGTTGTATTATCTAATCTATAAGTGCTGTCAACATTTGGAGGACTAGAAATATATTCATCCAGAAGGAATAAACTGAAAAGATATTACAAAAGTTACATGAGCTAAAGCACTCTTCAGAATTTATCTTTTGCAGCCTCAAGAAGTTTGTCTTTGCAGCTTTTAAGTCAGATATGGTATATGCCAACAACATCATTTTTTTTCCTCAGGAGTAATGAAGGATCAAACAATCAAAACTGGAACATTTTTTTCTGACTTTCCACCCAAAGGAAGAATCACCATTTCATAAAAATATTTTTGATCTGGCAGTTAATTGTTCATGGGATTCTTTAGTAAAGATCGCCTAGGAAATCCTACATTCTCATATTAGATAATCAGTTCATCCACAAAGTTCAAAACACCTGGGATCACAAGTAAATCCCAGGTTCCAACTTCCTTTGACATCTCAGAAGGAAAGTACCTGAGGATCAACAAGTTTGTTGTGCTAAGAGATAGTTGTCAGCTTGCCGCATTTCTGCTCATTTAAGAAGCAACACATTACTCCTAAGCTGTAAGTGTGCATAATCCAATAATAGAGAGCAAATTGGCCAGCAAGAAATGAATTGAAATTTTAAAATAATAATGAAAGCAATCAAGAGAGAATTTCATTTTTGCTTTATTTTTAGTGTGATTGATTAGAGAAAGTTTATCTAGTGATGCTTTATAAGCTAATTTTCCTTGTTATGAAAACAGCATGAGTGCATAGGTTTTGTTGAAATCTCAACTGAATTTATGCTTTGTATATATTGTTATCTCTAGGGACCCTTCTATGGAAGTATAAAGCTCTTCCTGACCAGTTATTGTCCATTAGGGAAATTTTAAAAAAGAACATTTGTAGTCCTTTTTGGAACTTTGACAATTATATTTGGATTATATAGTAAGATCTTTGTGAATTATATAGAATAGCTGTTTCCAAAGGCATTGTATAAAAATATACCATAAGGAATACCTCATTTTTAAAGACAGTTTGAGGAAACTTTCAATCATATTTTTGAAACATGAAAGCTGAAGTAGAAACTGTCAAGCTAGATTTTTTCACAATTTTTAAATATTAAAGAATTTCACAGCTGTCTCTTCAATTTTCTGTATTTCTTCAGAATTTCTTTGAGGATAGTTCCTCCAAAATCCTCTGCCAAACTTATCTTGAAAAATCATTACTTAAATCATTTCAATATAAATAAGAATTTGTTCATATGCTTTTGCATAGAAGGAGTGTGGTTTACTACACATTTCCCTTCTCTCTTATAAATCTTCAGAGATAAACAATTTGATTCCTGAATATCCTATCTATACAGGTTTCTGATAATCCTAAAAATTTACTGGTTGTCTAGTAAGGATGTGCATTATATTAAGATATTTTTCTGATTGTTTCATTAAATACAAATTATAAACTTAGGTGCAGCCACTCGCCAGTTTATATACTGGTTTGATTTATACGGTGTAGCATGATTGTTTGTTTAAATTATCTTCAGTTAAAAGTGCAATGTACAAATGGGAATTCACTTAGTAAATTTAAAATGATTTCATAGGAAAAAATGCAAAAGAATATATAAACCGTGGAATAAAGTATAGTGACTTATTTGAAAGGGAGGTTCATTGAGTAGAAAAACGACCAGAGATCAGGGAGCGTGGTCAGATCAGAGAATATGGTCTGGTTACTTAACAAAAAGCATTAGTCCTTCAGCTGAGAAGCTATTAAAATTTTCTGGATCTCACCTTGTAGACCTATTCCCTGATCTGTAGTAAGTTGTGATTTAGACCAACCCTAAGCTCTTTTTTCTTATCTGTAGCCTAAAATACACAGACTTTTTCAATGTTGTAAAAAAAAAAAAAATCACTTACTTAAAATAGCTACCATTTTTTGGCACTTACTACATCTCATTTACCACATGGGTTAAATGTTTACATACATTATTTTATTAAGTTCTCACAATATCCTCCTCCCTGTTTGGTATGAGTATTGCTATTCTGAAGAAGAAACTGAAGCACAATAGGATAAGCTAACGTTTCATGTAAAACAAAGAATAGCTGGATAATGACTGAGCCAAGAGTGGAGCCTGTCTCAAGTACCTGTTCTTAAGGACTCAGCTTTGGTTCTCCCCATAGAGTTTCCCATTGATAGGTTCATGAGTTATTTAATCTCATTCAGTATTTAACCATTATAATTGTTATCAGTACAGCAGTGGCACACGAAAACAAATGCTTCAAGAGCCTAGAGTTTTTTTGTTAGTTCTTTTGCTACTTACTTTTAAGAGGTTTTAATGCCTTTCTTCAAGCCGCTGAATCACTGCAAACTTCCATTTCCTCAAACACTTAACAAAGCATAATGGCAAAAACTAGTTTGTGCTGTTAAAATGCCACCCACAATTTGGAATGAGGCTCTTATCTAAGTAGAACCTTAAGAAGAAGTTATTTAAACCACTTGTATGATAAGAGAAATCCTAGTACTTAATATGCTTATTGAAATATCCCTAATGTATGATTAGAAGGTAAACTTCAGATGTAGGATTCATTATTCGTATTTTAAAACTTTCTACTTGAACAACTGAATAAACAAATTATGGTAGGTTCTATTTGTTATACAATTCATTAATATCCATTTTCATTTTTAATTTAAGACAAAAACCTTCACTGTATATAAGTGATGCATTTGGTATTTATGAATGTTTTCTTAATATTAACCCATGGGAAAAATGTTAGTATTGGTATTTTCTTTTTTTATATATGTCCTGTGTGTGTGTTCCCATGGTAATATTGATTTTTAAGATGATATTTCCCCATGGAAAAACATAGAAAGAATGAAAATATAGAAAGAAATATAGGAAAAAATATGTGGGAAAGCGTATAAATATTAATGATATATAAGCATATTACAGGTAATATAGATAAAAATTCAGCAAAATTCTTTGTATCACACAAGAAACGTGGAGTTAAAATATCTAAAGTGAGCTTGCAATAAATTTTGCACAGAGTTTTAGGAGTCAGTAAATAGGTATATGGTTACAATGACAGTTCTAGAAGAACCTTAACCTGAATCAAATGGTATGACTTTTTTTCTTTTTTTTCCTTTCTTTCTTTCTTTCTTTCTTTCTTTCTTTCTTTCTTTCTTTCTTTTTTTTTTCTTAGATGCTGATGGGAAAGAAAATGAGAAAAAATAGTGATTACAAACAATTTTGTGAGGCCACTTTCTTAGAGTGTCTTGTCAACTTTTCTGAATCACTAAAGTTATATTTAATTTTTTCTAAATCTCAATTTCTCCCTCCAGTCTGTATTTTCTTATTTCGGCTCACAGATACCCTGTTTGTCACCAAATTTGGAACAGATGAAATCAATACTTTTCTCTGTTCTTGTCACACCTTAGTTCCAGTGTGACTTTTACAGCTTTTGCATTTTCTTTTGAGGTTTTTCTTCCTTAGTGATTTTTTTTTTCTTCTCCCGGGAGATGACCCAGATATTCCAGAGGTTAAACCTCTGCGTTTACCGGGGCCACACTTTTGCTCTCCACCCCTCTTCTTGCCTCACTTCCATCCCTTTTGGCCTGATTGGGGATGAAAATTGTGACATCTTCCAGTAGAGTTACCCTTGTTTAGCGGGTTTACAGGGAAGATTTGTGTTAGGGAGAAAACAATAAAACAACTAACCACCTAAGTAGAGTATTTTTTCTGAACAAAGAATCTTTACTTTGTATCCTGCTGACAATTTGTCTTTCTTCCAAGGCATACAATTTCACGCACATTACACTCACAAAGTGCTTGTCTTCTCTCACAAGCCAGCTTTTCTCTTCAGTTCTTTGTCTCTTCCTTTTAGGAATACAAAGCACTTATTAGTTATTCTAGTAATCTTCTCTCATGGTGGATTTTCTTAGGAAATGGGGGGAGGAGGAAGCACACGATTTGGAGAGCTATTAGAAATGAGTGTTTGATTAAACCAATCATGTTATAGCACTTGCAGGCTTTCGCACCATACACATTAGCCATCTGAAGAGTTATTCGTGATCGTCTATGGAAAGACAAGCAAAATGTATCTTGTTGGAAAATCAGTATTTACAAATAATTTCATACCTTTTACTGTAAGAAAAAGTGCTGTACTTTTCTTCAGCATTTGAAACAGACCAATTCTTTAATTATAAATAACTAAATATATTTTTGCAACTAATGGTCAAATCAGTTCCTTTTTAATATATGCATTCTTTGATTCTTATTATGTAAAAAATACAGATTTTAAAGATCATGTGCAGAGGGGCACCTAGGTGGCTCAGTCAGTTAAGCACCTGACTCATGATTTCAGCTCAGGTCATATCTCAAAATTTGTGGGTTCTTGCACCACATTGGGCTCTGATGCTGAAAGCATGGAGCCTAATTAGGATTTTCTCTCTCTCCCTCTCTCTCTCTTTCTCTGCCCCTTTCTTACTTGCATGTTCTCTCTCCTGCTCTCAAAAATGAATAAAGTTTTAAAAAAATTTAAAAACTCATGTGCTGAAATTAACCCATATGTTCAATTTTTAAG